TGGTCCCGGTGAACAGCACGTGCAGCATGAGTTACATGAAAATCATGGATAACACATTACCATCTCAAAAGTCAGGTTACGTTTTTGAGAACATTTCCTGAGTTCAATTCTGTGTTTGGGAAGGAGCCTTTTTTTTTAAAGCAATGTCATCTAAATTGGACAAAGGTTGGTATATTTGTTGCATGCTTTGCCAGCAAATTATGAGACTTTTAGAGGGTGTTCACAATGCAGAACTATACTAATTTTAAATTCGTTGGCCTTTATCCAATTAGTTATGCCACCAAACTATAGATAGAGATTAATAAGATCAATACAGGCGGTGAATAGTTCGCCCAATCCCCAAAGAGACCTCCTTAGGCCTACCTCATAACACAAAACCGGTGTTATACACTGTAAGCCTTTTCTGTAATTTTTACAGACCGGTTTCTGTAAAACGCCTACAGCGCAGTTCTGTTATCCTGATAACAGACACGAGTCTGTAAATATTTGAGAAATACAGAATTTCGTCCGTAAATAGTACATACGGGTGTTTAATTTAGAGTGACGTCATCGGTCTTCCTGGGCGCCATTACTGCGAAGACCGTTTGTAAGCGGCAAAGAGGAATCCTTCTGCATCGAGCACAATAGTTGAACCATAGATCGTATAGTTCTATATGGTTGAACACTACAGCCATTACCAAACATTGCAGTTTTAGGTAAGTAATGTTTATATAGCAGGCACACATCTTTGATTGACACAGATTGATTCTTGGCATTCGTAAAAATGTACGGGTAGGCGGTTGTTAGCGGCGTTAGCCTACTGATTTTTGACAAATGGTCAAATGGACGTACTGCTAGTGCTAGGCCTAATATTTTTTAGCATTGTTTTTGGAGGCTTCAGTTCTAGTTGAGGGCTACTCCGACTTTTACTCGGATGATATAACTCATTCAAACTCATTGATAGAAATAAATATATGAACTATGACATCATCATAGTCTATGAAGGGCTAACGTACATTTCTGGGCTTCATTCGTAGACTCCATAGCGTAGACTAGACTAGCCTACCTCTGAAAACCATTAGGCCTACATATATACATTAAGTTAAGAATTTATTGATAAATAAGATCTTTAATTTTTTATTTTACTAATTTTTTTTAGGCATAACTTATTGCATCTTTGAGTGCCATTCCGGTCATCTATCGAGTAGCCTACTCAGCTTTTCTCTGGGTTACTGAATTTTTTTCAAAGGTAAAAGTAAAAGAAAAATTATAAGATTGAAGATAATAAGTTTGGGAATTGACTATTGAGTGCATCAACGGCATTGTCAGTGAAAACTATCACGTCCTGCCCTCTGCTTGGACCTTGAAATTTGAGGGGGTGGTTGGACGAATGGTCTATCCATAGAGCTTTTATAAGGTTCATGGTCTAACATAGGCCTTAGTTAGGTCAGAATGTATGTCTTTGAGTCAATTGGCGTGGAAAGGAGTAAGATCTTTCGTTTTTCTCCCACTGTTTATAAAAGACCTATGGTTAAAGCGGATTATTGAAATAAAATTCTACATGTTATATTAGTCCAAAAATGACCCCATTTCTCTCTCCCTGCTTGAACCTTGGGGTAGGCCCTATATTAGCAACAGGTGAATCCCATTTTAATCTGCTTTTACCTGTCATAGGTGCAGAGTTGCGACTGGTTTGTCCAAAAATCCGATCAGAAACGTAAGATGCGGTAGAAAGAGAAGAAAGCGTGGGTTTTAACCCACAATAAAACGATGGGTGTTACTTTAGTTACAGCTACTACCAATATGATCAGAGAATTTCAACCTAACTTAAAGTAAAGGAGCTATCTGTATTCTTTGGCACCTAGAAATGAACACAAGTGGGTCCCAAAGCAATAATGTAAAATGAATGTATATCAACTCATTTACATTCAGTCGTTTCTGTTTTTAGTGTAATTTTTAATCAGTTATGCTAGGTGAAATATGCAAAGTGTCCAAATTGAATGGCAGTCATTGGCGTCAGGTTATTTCAGTCTACACTGATAGTATTCTCCTGTGTGATATGTTTAGTCTCCTGTTTGTGGACATGACACTTCATTTTCTCGCACATTTAGCTCCCTTTTCCTTAATTTAAATGTGTTCTTTTGTCATAAGAAAAAGCTGATTGAGAATATTTGTTTTGCAGGTTCATTTTTGAAATAAACTCAGATAACGCACAGAAATCATGAAACAGAGGAAGACTCAATTGTGCCAAAAAGTGATATAACTAATCACTGAACTGTCAAACTTTGAATGGATGAAGTATGGTTGCAGCAATATACTGGTACTGTGAGATGGTATACGGTAGTATAGATGCCACATTTCGGGTCAAGGTGCTTTAAATTCCGTACCACGGTTCGGTTAACATAGTACAGATATTTTAACTGTCCATTTTCTTCCGATGCTCAACTATCATGCTGAATACTCCCCTGTAGTTCATGTGACAAGGAAAAGGGATGGCTTTCGGCAATGAAACGTGTCCCGCTGAAAGTACATTTCCCTCCGGCGAACCACAAATCACGGTTATGGGAACATTTTGAATTAAACACGTCAGATGGAAAAGCAGTGGCTAATAATGTGACAGCGTGTCGCCATTGTTTTGTTGACATTTCTTACAGAGCTGGAAACACCTCCAAGAAGAAATACTGCGATACATATAATTGCAACCTAGGAAGCAATAATGTTCATGCATGCAAGCTTTAGAGATATAGGCCTATTGAGTTTATGGTTAGTTTTTATACACCAGCACATAGTGTGGATAAAATTGGTGATAAGGGACCGAGCCACAACCCTTTTATGAGTGATACCATGTAAATGAGGCTTTAAACACACTGCAAGAAATCTTTTTAATGAATCTTCTTAATTAAACTTGATCTTATTTTACTTTTGATAAGATGTCCGTTTATTTTGATGGAAATATCTGTTAGTCATCTAGTTTGTCCATCCACAATTTGATACATTTGTAAAATCTTTATAATAAATTTTCTTAATTAAACTTTATCTTCTTATTGTTCTTTGATAAGATGTCAGTTTACTTTAATGGAAAAATCTGTTGGTCATTTAGTTTGTCCACCCACAATTTGGTACATTTGTAAAATTACCCTCTGTTCATTTTGTCTCTAAATGTGCAGCTGTGTTGCATAAACATTAAAAATGTGCAACTCTCATCTACACATTTCATTTTGGGACTGGTACATTAACTTTGTCAGTAGTCGAGTTCCATCTAAATTTTTTATCGAGACTGAATCAATGTATGCCATTCTCACTAAGGAATGTACATGCTTAGGCAGGGGTATTGTGCAAAATTTAATGATATACATTTTCAAACAGGGATTAAGCTAATCATTGAAACGAGCTGTAGTGGAATAATAGGAATTCTGCATTGATGCTGTTCTTGTTTTAAAGTCATGATACTTTTGGGGTTCAATAATTGTTAGATTTTAAATTGTTCATTTAAACATTTAGAATGCAAATTCGTTAATCTCCAAAAATTTGAATGATTTCATTAGATCATGTTTTACTGTTATAATTTACTGATACGGTGATAGTTTTACTTTCATGTTGTTGAAGTTTTAAATAATAGATTTGAGGTAAATATTACAACACCTTGGTAAGATTTTGGAAAAAGATTTGAGGGTAATACTATTGTAACACACTGATTTTATATTTTTAGAATAGATTCAGAATGTTATTGTTATACTATAAAAAAATTCATTTAAATATTATAATGTAAATGTTACATGTACAAGAATTTGAATGGATAATTTCATATGAACTTTCCTTTAGACATTTATATTTTGTTGCTACCCATTATTTGATACATCCATGGGAATTTTCACATACATTTTTGACTTGCTGGGAATTTTTGTTTGCTTGTCTTGAGAGAACTTGATAAATATTTTGGAGAGTTATTTCCCTTGTTAATAAGGGCAACAGATTCTTTTTCTATTTTTTAAAGTCACCATTATTCCATGTACAAATGTTCATTATTATTAATGAAGAATTATGTAAAGAGCTTTGTTTTTGTTGAAATACACCACCAAACTGCTTGACAGTCAAAGAATATGTTATTGAAATAAAATGGAACCATTATGTTAGTCCCGAAATGATCAAGTTTGTGTCGAGTGGATGTTAAACCCCATTTAAAAACGAAATAATATTTATTTATTCACTTTCAATATAGCAGTATTAGCGAAAATGCACGACAAAAAAAACTATACATTTATTTTAAAAATACCTAGAATAATTTGCTTTTGTGCGTATAATATTTTATAACTTTTGTCTGTCGGGTTATGAAAAAGGCGAGATTTTACATGTCGCCAATCAGCCGCCATACAGTTGTAAACAGCGCCATCTGTTGCCAAAATGGGCTTAGAATTATGACGCCTTTATCGCGTAAATGTCAAAATGTTAACGAAACTAAACCGACTACAAAAATAATGGAAATTGAACAAAATACGTATTCTAACAGCAATAATTAAGAAACAAGTCATATAAATTAACATTTTGACATGTGTAAATAGCCAATTTATCATGTGCTAGTAAGGTAAGGTAAATTCTAAAACATTTTATTTATGTATTAGAAAAATAAATAAAAACGTTTGACGTATTTGTAGGTAAAAATTATTTCCTATTTAGTGTAAATGGGTATTAAAATGAGTAAAAGACTCCATTACGCCCGAACCAGTAAGGTCTTATGTAAGCAATGCACGCGCCATTGAGCCAATGATTGACGCCGCCTGATGAGACGTCACGTGTTGAATGTAGTCATCTTTTACAGAGATATTAGAAGACTTTCGTAATCCTCCGTGAAACAGATTAGGTTAGGAGTTAGAATTATGAGGGAAATTCCGCTCCATAGGACATAATAAAGCTGTATTTATGCTGCGTTACCCGGTCTGTGTATATGCATATTCGACATTTACTTCCCAAGAACTGTCGCCTAAAACTAATCAGCTACAAACAGGCTTTCAAACCCAGAAACACATATTTTGGACAATATTTATTAAAATATGTTGTTTAATCATTTATTACACTTCATATTACAGTTCTGTTAAGCAGATCTTTATGATGACTGGGTTCTCTCTTAATCTGTGGTTACATTCTAGAAACCCCAAAGCCGTTGATTGGTGGCTGAAACACAACAATAATATATTGAATTAACCGATTCTAAATTTTGAAACTTCTATTTAAAAGAGATTGTTTTAATCCATTAATTGAATAGGGTGGGTGATAGTGATACCCCTTAAAAAGTATATTACCTTGCCTATTATTTGTACGTGTTGGATTATTATCCAGAAATTGACTGAACAGAGTCATTAGCTGCTGCTGAAAAGCTGGATTCTCCAAAATTTTATTGATATTGGTATTTGTTGATGGGGCTGGGCCATTGGTTTGTTGTGGTGGATGATGAACTGATTGAACTGGTGGCGATACCGGTTGTGCAGGTGGTGGTGGTTGAGCAACCATTGGTGGGTTGACTGCTGGTTGAGCAGCTATTGGTGGGTTGGCTGCTGGTTGAGAAACCATTGGTAGGTTAGCAACTGGTTGACCAAACATTGGTGGATTGGCAGCTGGTTGAACAAACATTGGTGGCTGTGCAGGTTGATTTCCCATCAAAGAACTCATCAAGAGTGCGCTCATCATTCCACCCCTAGGTATTGGTTTGGGTCCCCACATTGCTATACAGATTTAGGAAGAAGAACGAAAATATTATAACAGCGGTAAGTACTGCATATGATATTTAACTCAAGATTAAATAACAAATATAAAACTAAAAGCAGTCACATAGGACAGATCCAGTAATTTTAAGCAAAGCTGTGGATAAGCGTGGCAATTTTATGGGATTTACAGTGGCGGACTCTGAATGAAAAGTGGACTTGTTGTAGTTGTTAGTTTTTCTTTGTGTGTGTGGGGGGGGGGGGGCTCAAGCATTCTGGCATATACCCAAGATCAAAAAGCCAAGAATAGAGGCCCAGTGCTGTAATTAAGGCTTCCAGTTTTCACAGTAGTTGCTGAAGCTGTTTAATTGTTTATGATGTACATTTTGGTAACTTCTTCCAGGGTACAAATAGTCCATAAAATCTTGCATGATTTGGGTCGACTGATGGGCCAAATTAGAGAACTGGTCCACTCGGCAATGTGTTAAAGAGTGTCCTGTTGGGAGGTGATGTATTCGTTAAAATTGGCTTATGTTGAAGTATCTTTATTTCATCGCCAATTTCTTAACTAATTATGGACAAAAAGCGTCTAGGCCCACTCTTCTTTTGTCTAAAGAATTACATACGAGAAAGTCACTTAAAACTATGATAAGTGTTAAGTGGTATATGTCTTGAAGAATAGGGAGTCTAACAATGACGTCTTCGAAAAAATATTACCCAATCTGGTTAAAACACAGATCCTATTTCGTTTCGTTTCTATAGTTCAAAATTTCGTTTTACTTGTCTTTACTACACTTGGATCTGGAAAAGTTGTTATTTAACTCGTTTTCTGAATGGTGTCAGGGATAAGCCAATGAAACGGTCTGTTACGGCGAGCTTTAGGCGTGTTTTGTAGGAACTGTGGGTAATCCACTAGTAACATCAATGCTGATTGGTTAATCAAATGTCTGACGTCATAGGTCATAAGTCGGTCTTTTGACCCCTGACGTGACCTATGGATATAGATCTTCATGTAGTGTAGGCCATCGAAAGTATAAAAAAAACGAAACGAAATATAGATCTGTATTTTAATCAGATTGAATATTACCATAAGAATTCTGTAATATTATTCCATAAATATCTCGATATGTGATGATATAAACAACTGCACGCTCATATAAATAATCACAAATAAATCATATGCAATAATTCAAATAACTTACGATGACAGGTAAATCGGTTACATCCGGCTGTAAGACAAAAGAAGTTCATAAATTTATGTGATCAATCAACTTTAAATAAAGATATTGCAATTCTTTAAAGCTGTCTTCTGTAACAATTAGATAAAGAGCTGGCCATTCTTGCTATAATTGTTAAAAATAGATGACGAAATATGAATTATTTGATATTGAAATTTCAGTCAAATTACTTTTTTATGTGCAAAGTTGTGAGTGTTTGAAGTTTTGATAAAAATGTAGCGTAGATTGTTTATTATCTTACTTAGACTTAGTCTCGATTATCTATTTTATCGTTGAAATCTTAAATGGTCACAGGTGTTCTAATCTACTTAAAATCTGAGCCATCCGATAGTGAGAGAGTTGATTATGGGCTATTCGTGTTAATAAATGTTTAAATAATGATTTATATTACATTTCATGCCAGAGAAAAGACGTACAATAGGCAGAGTTAGCTCTTATATACGGTGGCTGACTTGGGACAAAAAAAAAAAAATATCTCGAGAGCTCGAGATACTAAATCGAGCGCTTGAGATACTAAGTCGAGCGCTCGAGATAATTAAGTTGAACGCTCGACATAATTAAGTCGAGCACTCGAGATACTACATGTATGTCGAGCGCTCGAGATAATACAATCAAACACGTCTCAACCGATGTTTTAAACTGTATAAGCTGTATAATTTTGTGCATTATTTAATGATAAACTTATAGAATAAAGATATTCATTTGTTCGTTTTAACACAACATTCAAAGCTGCAGTGACGGAGCGGATACCCCCACCCCAACCACACTCTATCCCATGCTCATCACCACCACTAAATATTTCCCATTATATTTACCCCCTTCCAAGTGGGGAGTATATAAATAATTGTATATATCGAGGTTACAGACATTTCCTCTTATCTAGAAGCTCAGCTGTGATCCAAGTTTATTTATGTCATATGTAGGAACTGGTCAATGCCTAATTTATCCTGGCGCAAGTGGTGCGATCGTGCCGGGTTTCTACACCCCCGCCCGCCGGTCCTCACTCCTTGTTCTAGCTGTGGATTCTTATTAATTCCGGGTTCTTGCTGTGGGAGGAAACCTAAGGACACGGATATTTTTTTTTTTTTTTGCATGTCCTAAATCAGCCAAACTTTGCAGCCAATTGCTTGACAGAAATAGTATTTCTCATTTGACATTTATTTTTGCTTATTTACTAGCAATTAAAACATAAAGTAAAGTACTCGGGGTAAATTAGTGGTAAGGATGACTTGAAATAAAATTTTATACTTACTACTATCTATCAAATCACCGAACTTATTGGCTATAAATAAAGCAATAAAATCGATACAATTTATATTTATAATAAAAATGTCAGCATTGTATAATATTTGGTCTTATAGCCTATGAACTTAAATAATTAACCTTCAGATAAAGCTAAACAAATTAGAATTATATAGTCTTCTTTTTCCTTACATATTAATGTTAAAAGTATTTCAAGCAAACTGAATCGTAGTATTTCACCGTTGTAGACGGCTTACTAATTTACCAGCAAGTAGGGTGCATCACTTGAGGATTATCCAGTCTTAATAAATCTTAATAAGAAATGACTTCTCATGCTCTCTAGGTTACTCTTCCGTCTGCATGAATGAATTATGGCAACACCGGAAATTTATCCAAAATACCAATGACATATGAAATGAATGTTTATGTGTATTATCTGTCGAACCAGAACGGCATAACCAGAATTCAGATGCATAGCCTATTTAATTTTTTTGGCCAAATGATCATGAAAAGATATTGTAACACAATACTGAAATTGACTACTTATACTTACCTAGTTCGGTTGCGGCTGAAAGAAATGGGAGATGATTTATTTACTAAAAAGTTCTTGTTGGATATATTTTTATTCGGTTATAAAGATTGAGTTCTAGAATTCACTTGATTCACTTAGTTTTTAATACGCGATTGCCATACATGATGCACGAACATTTTGCAAGAGACGTTAGCTTCTATCGGATACAGAATCTTTCATAAAAAGGGGGTTGGGGGGGGGGGGGAGGTAAATCCGGAGATTGTTTAACGCTGAATATCGATCGATAGTGTCACTCATCTCACGAACCCAATGCTTACCACCTAAGTTAAAAAATAAAGCTAAAGCATAGTCTGAATGCTTCAAATCAAATTTGAAAAAATATGTTAAAAACTGTGTGATCTATTGCATCCACACAAGGTTTTTGGAAAACCCCATAACCCCAGAACGGAAGGTACCTTGCGCACTAAAATCAAACTCGTCCAAGAAAGTTATAACGCATACCATAAAACAAATTCGCAAAACGTGTTATCCACATCACCATCGTGACTGTAGGTTGACAATCAGGAATAGCGGAAAAAGAATTGAATTTCAGTATCCAGTAAAATAACGTCATTTTAGTTATTCGCCGATCGTTATCTCGCCGAAAAGAAAGTTTTATCCAAGTTGACATAAATTTCATGGCATACTATCTATGATTGTTATTTTTTTTTGTTATTACTTTTTGTCAATCTTAGGTGCGCCGACTCTTTCCTATGGGAGTAATCCGGAGTAACCGGAGTAAACTCACGAGGTTGAGAAGGCGTCCCTATCTCCAAGCCACATATGCTCACACCAGGAATCGACACCACCAGCCAGCTAGAACTCACGAGGTGGCCGGCCAGCTAATGGGACATTCTAAGCCACTACTCAAAATGACACCTGTGGACTTTGGCTCAATACTCAGTTTAAAGTTGCTACCACATATAAATCTACGCGATTTTTGTGCATGGCAAATTACAATGGTATTCTGCCAATATTACGACACAATTTTGCCACCTATTTAAGATAACCCCTTTATATCTACTTTACACGAAATTTGACAGGGTCATCTACCCTTTATCTAATCCAATCAAAATCAAACTGTTTCAATGGCATTTAGTAATTGAACTGGAGTATACAGGTCACAACGTCGCTCAGTAATAAGCAGTAATTGTATTCCATAAAATTGTGACCTGTACAATCAAAATCAATCTAACTGACTTATCCAGGAAATGTTTAATGTGTGTAGAACAGGTTTCTCTACCAGCTAAGTGAAACAATCCTTGGGATATCTATGGTTTGGTATATACATCCATTAACTGTTATTAGGGTTTCACACTGCGTAGCTTGTGTGAAACACTATTGTTTTTGTTCGGATTATTATTCTTATTATTATTTTTTTTTTCCATTTTGATCATATCTCAGAAGCTACTTGTCGGATTGATCCAATTTCTTCGGTTTCACGGGGAAAGTGGGTGTGACTTAGAGATTAAAGCTATTTTGAACGTTCTGTGACAATGCGAAATGTCCGAAATCACCGAAGTGGTTAATTTTTTAAATTTTGTCGTAACATTTACAATAATTGCCGGATTTTAACATTTGATACATTTTGACATAGGCAGAAACAAGGCACGTAGCTACGGTTCTTTAGATTGTTGATTTTCGATGAATCTTCGGAGATATTAGGCGCCAAATTTTGAAAATTTAAATTTTTACAAAAAACTTTTTTATTAATGAATATTTTTTGATGATATTTTATCCAGGGCTAAAGGGTCGTCTGATTTGAGCGAAAATGTCAACAATTTTTGTCTAAATAATTTTCCTTGGCCGCTATTGGCTAATTCAGTTTTACGCTCCTAGATTCGTTAATGTTTGAAACAAAGTTCATATGCTCCGTTTTCCAAAATGTCATTTTTTTTGTTACCGATAAATTTTCCTGTCGACACCGGAAGTGGCATAATTTCAACAAAAACTATAATTTTGACAGTTCGGTACCACTTTTTGAAAGTAAATATTATTTTTTTCAAAATTTGTTATTACCAAATCGATGCGCAATGCAGAGGCGCACAAAACATTTGATGCGTAATGTCAATATTAACTAGGTCAAGCCAATTTAACATTTTCAATGTCACCGGAAATGACGTAATTTGGCAAAAACTGTATTTAGAGCCATTAAAACCAATAATTTATTCAAATGAGTCGTATTTGTTATTTGTTTAAAATTTTGATTTTCAACTAATAGAATGAACCCATACGATCATATAGATATCACAAAATGGTTTCTAACTTTTTCAGTTGCGGAGAAACAGACGATTTTCAACAGGTAACTTTTCAAGGTTTTTGGTCCATAAAAGTGTCAATTATTATTCGATTTTCATAAAACTTTCAGTATGTGATACCTAATGCCATTTACGATTTCATACAAGTAATTTAAGATTTTCATTATCAACGGAAGTAACGTCATTTTGGCAAAACAGATATTGTATTCAAATGATTTGTAATGTTTTTAAAATTATGATATTTGATTCCAATCAACAAATAGATTGAACCCATACGATCATACAGATACCAGAAAATGGTTTCTAACTTGTACGGTTGCAGACGAAAAAGACGGTTTTCTACAAGTCACTTTTCAAGGTTTTTGGTCTATAAAAGTGGCAATTATTATTCGATTTACATAAAATTTTCACCATGTGATGCCGTATGCCATTTCTGATTTCATAAAACTAATTGAACATTTTCATTATCACCGGAAATAATGTACACTTACATGTAACAAATGTATAAAATAAATTGATATTGCTGGATTTGGTTGATTCGGCGTCCATTTTATTTGATGTGTGCAATGCTTACGTGGAAACCTGTTTAATGGTTTCATCGGTACCGAAAGTGACATATGTTTAGGGTAACGCGGCACCCGTGAAACCGTCATTACTGCATCGCAGTTCTAGTTTAGTATTGTTTTTACACCGGACATCTACCCAATTCTCCATTACTGATCATTTACAGCTCTTTTTTTTAATTTTACATCCATCCAGAACTTTAACGAGTATTGAGTACGATATACAGGACCCGAAAAGTGGATTGGCTTATCCCAATGAAGAATCCCGCCAAGTTTTAAAAAAGTCCACCGAGAACTATGTCCTATGTAGCGTTCACAGTATTGAATTAAATACAATCAAAACATTATATTTTATCGACACGGTTTTGGTTTATGACCCAATTTACTATCATGGTGAATATGAATAAAGTCCGTGACGAACTCTGATCAGAAGATTGTTCACCAGATATTTTGGACAGACCGGGAAATAACGGGCGCAGATGCTGACAATATATTTCCACCTTAGCGCCTTGAGCATCCCCAATTAGATCGAATAGTTGCGCTATATAAATATCATTTTAATTATTATTCTTATTAAATGTGATCGTTTTAAAAAAAATAACGTCATTATGTTAAGATTATCATAAATGCTAAGTATCCTTAACATGAAAAATAGTAGTTATCTACTCACGATACTTTGAAGCATAAAACTGAGCGGCACCTAAAAAACGACAAAAAAGATAATAAATTACATTAACGTATAACAATTGAAGGCGTAAAAATGTCATATAATAATGAGAAAGGGTTGCGTAAATTTATAATACACGTGTTCTAATAACCGATGTACAGTAATCGTAACTCATTATCCCTTTGTTTATATCTTTTTCTACAAATATTAAACGAAATTATCGTGTGCATCCAAAATTGCATAATTTTATCAAAGACAATAAAATGTAAACAAAACAACTTACATTTCCATTTTCCTGTACCGGCCAATGTAGGATCGAGTCTTAAAACTGAAGAAAACAAAAAGAACCATTCATTATTTAATGGAAGGGGATAAGGATCTTTTATTCGCCAATGGTTTAGTCGAAGTATTCGCAACCGAAGTTACCTGGGCAACGCAGTGGACACAAGACGAATGCTGGTGCCAATGTCTCGGCGAATAAGTCGGCTGAAACGGAGATCACTCATGCGCTGATGCGCTTTTGGCGACGTTATGTCGTTGGGCGTCGCCATTTTGTTGATCATGTGAGGCTTCGAATGGTATTGATTGTCTGACGAATTCTAGGACTCACGATACTCTTCGCCGGATTGGACACACTCGCCGAAGGAGTTGGCGGCCTTAAAGATTTGGGCGACAAATATCAAACATGTTTGATATTGGTAGATGTTGGAGGTCACACCAGGCGAAATTCGCTGACGAAGGGTTCGCCCAGATGATTCGTATACAAAAATTATGGTAGTGTGCCTTTTTAATCGAATTCGGGACTAGACACCGTTTCTTACCAGGACCTCCGCCCTGCGGCGGGTGATAAGGGGACACCAGAATAGAAAATTCAATAGATTTTTTTTTTGATAACACGAGGATTGCCCCCTTGATCTTCTGGTGAGTGAGCCAATGCGATACCTGCGGAGGCATTTTGGCTCCCGATAGATAATGAAATAGCTCATGACTTACGTTGTGCTCTTTTGGTTATTTCTGTACCAACAACATCAGCTGAAAATGATAATAAAATGTTAAAATTGGGGTTATTAGTAGCAGTAACGTTCCCGAGTGGCCGGTTTTTTTTTCGGAAAATTGGCCGGTTTGCCGGGGTCTCTTACACATTCAATCAAACCAAAATGAGGCTAACAAATTAATATTCAACTGAGTCATTTAAAAATGACATAATGCTATACTTACTGACTACTTTTCGACCTAAATGGGGGGGGGGGGGGTAATAATTAATTTTTGATTTTTTAATGCGAGAGGGCCGATTTTTTTTTTTTTTTTACAATAATCAAAACAAAGTGAGCAAGAGTCATGTTCGCAGCTTTTCTTAAATGTGAAATAATGTCGATAACTCTAGAAACAATCAAGGAAAATTGTTGAAATTCAATAGGATTCTTCGTGGGTCTTTTCTACAAATTATAGTATATTAGATGAAAGTTAATTAGGAATCTACTAATACATGGAAAGTTGCAATAAATGAATAAATGTGTGTAATACTTACAAAGGTGACCTGTTCCAACCATTGGGTTCACTAAAAACAATAAATGGGAAAATAAATTATACAGAAAGTATTGGTGACAATTTAAAATTGCCGGTCTTTATTAATTGTATTTTAATCAAATGATAGTTTTTTTTTAAAGAACTTAAAGTGAAATGTGATGAAATGTAACTGAATCTGGTCTAAAGTTTCATGTACGGCTTAAATGAGGGGGTGGAGTGAATTGAATTGGCAATGCAATAATCTTATCGAGCAAATAATGTTACTCTTAAATCGAGTTTCTTAATCACGGATGAACTAAAACCCCTTGATTTATATCATTTATATACCATATATTAAATTTACCGTAGAACATTATTTCCAATGTACATTACATTCCGGATTCTAAACTTTTTTATTGTATAAAGGTCATAAACAAACTATGGGTTGTCAGAGACCCCCCCCCCCACCACCACCACCACATATATTGATATCTTGTGTGGATGTGAAGATTGTTGAACCACATCTGGCCAATAGATGAAGTTCGTTTGTATAATTAAAACCCTTGTCAGGATTTAGTAGCTCGTCTTGTTGTGACAAAAATTCAACATGAAAGATAAATACGCTGCGAATTCCAGTGAAATGGTTTAAGACCCGATCTGCTTTCCTCAATGGATCCCTTACATACTAACCTTATTGGAGATATCGCCAGCAATCATTGTGCCAATTTTGCAAGTTAAAATAAAACTTTCCCTGAATTCGGTATATGGCTTTAGCTTTTGGTTAGTACAGTAACAAATTCGTATAAAAAATGATAAGACATTTTACAACTTACTTGCATGTGCAGTACAAATATCTGAAATAAATAAGTTATAATAAATTAGATTTTGACACAACATTCGTCCTTTTCTGGATATTCCCTTCAAGTTTTGTTTATCATGTGGAGCTAAAAGCGAGGTAGCGTAGCCAAACTCATCTAACTAGAAAATATAAATTTGGTTACTTGAATGCTCGTATGGCGAACTACTAATGAATACAAAGGTGCCTTCATATCAATTTAAAACCATTGTTTGCGATATCACCTCGGTGGAAGCGGACGTAAAATACAACTAACTAACAACAACAACAACAACAATTTAAAACCTAGTAAGATATATTTACCCTCTACTGTAGGTCCTAAAAAAAGAAAAAAAACCAAACAATATATTAGTTGAAATTTATTTCTTAAGATAAATTTATACTGTTTTCTTGATATTCACTGGGCAGTAAACGTGGGGACTTTAGATAATGAGCCCATAGTGGATATTAAAAAGGAACGAGATTACATGGTTTAGAAAATTGGTTGTAGTTTGAACAATTAGCCAAGATGTTGTACCTGCTCTTGCTTGCTGTAATGTCATCATCGGTGCTTGTGATGGCGGTGCTGAAAAAAAAGAATATATTTATTATACATTAATTAAATTTAATTAATTCAATTTTTTATATATTTCTTTATTAATTCAGAATTGTGGCAGTAATCATTAAACTAGACAAGGGTCTCAATGGAGAACGGGAAGTAATCACAAATTTACAGAGTGACATACGTCTACGTTATGTTTTCGTCATTGAGCCTCGGATTTTCAATAACAGACAGTTTAGGGACCTTTTAAAACTATTATAGGCATATCTGTTATTTGCACATGAGTACAATCCGTCCTGTTAAACATAAGTGTTTGCCCCCAGTGATTATAGTAGTCTCTTCAATGATATAATTGTAGAAGTGGACGTGTTAATAAATACTTACGTCCTGCAGGACCCATAAAAGGGAAACCTATAGATGGAGAACCTGTCCGAATTTAAATTAGATAATAAAGTCCATATAATCCATTATTTTCATTATTTATAGTGCATTAAATTTTGTACAACTGAATTTATAGACCTAGCTTTATAATTAATGTTGATATTTTATAATAAAGGTAGTTTATGGTTGCAGTGTACCATAGGCAGATACAGAAAGAGGGATTTAACGCTTTAAAATAATAATTCAAATTATTTCACTTGAAGATTTTGTTAGTAAATGTAGTTATAGGTTAATGATAAAAAAAAACATTATTTAAAATCCCTTCCCAGGTTTATTTTATACCAATAATAATTGTTATGGTCCTTGTTTTCTTGCATTATACACGTATGTTACATGATGTCATACCTTCCATTCTACACATCTAGCACTCTATGTATGTTACATGATATCATGCTATACATATATTCGACCCATAGCAAATGTTAAATGGTATATATCATACCATTCTATATGCAGTAAATATTAAATGATATGAAATCTGCCATTCTATATGTAGTAAATATTAAATGATATCAAATCGGTCATTTAAGATGTAGCAAATGTGAAATGATATCAAATCGGCCAATCTAGATGCAGTAAAAAGGATGTCAAATCTGCCATTCTATATATAACAATTATTAAAGGATATCAAATCTGCCATTCTATATATACCGGTAGTAAATATTAAATGGTATCAAATCTGCCATTCTATATGTTGCAATTATTAAAGGCTATTAAATCTACCATTCTATCAATCTGATTCACAGAGGATTACGAAAGTCTTTGTAAAAGATGAATACCTTCAACAAGTGACGTCTCATCACGCGGCGTCAATCATTGACTCAATGGCGCGTGCATTGTTTACATAAGACGTTACTGGTTTGGACAGAATGGTGTCTTTTACTCAGTTTAATACCCATTTACACTAAATAGGAAATATTTTTTTTACTCACAAATACGTCAAACGTCTTTATTTATTTTTCTAATACATAAGAAAAAAGATTTTAGAATTTAATTTGTCGGAGGAAAAAAGTTAATATTTGTGGCTCATTAAGCCTAGCCAATATTCACTGCTGATCAAGGTGCCATTCTACATGTATATGTTGCAGATGTTAACTGATATTAAATCTGTAGTAGTAAATATTAAATGATATGAAATCTGTCATTCTATATGAAGTAAATATTAAATGATTTCTGCCATTCTATATGTAGTAAATGTTAAATGGCATAACACCATTCTATAATTCATACCTCCATTGCCAACTTCTGAAAAAAACGTAGAAAGAGCAATACTTATTCGGTTATTTCAACGATACGGAGAAGAGTCAAACATTAACGTACTCCTTTGTATTCTTTAAAGAACATCTCCTAGAATTTCACCTTGTTAATATTCCTGTTGTAACCTATATGCAAAAAGTTAACTTACGTGGAGTTGTTCCTGCTATCGGTTGTCCAAAATTAAAAAATCCTACAAATGCAAGAAATATACTCTTAGATAAGAAAGTATGTGCACGATAAAATACTGTTAAGTAAGTATTTGCATGAAAAGAAAAATTGTTAAGTAAATATTTGTATGATAAAATAGGCCTACTGTCAAGTAGGAATTTGTATGGTAAAATAGCGTTAAAGAAGTGTGACATTGTACTTGATAAAATACTATTATGCGAGTGTTTGTATGATAAAAAAACCTATTAAACGGGTATTTACATGATACGTATACAATTGATATTATCGCTGCCCTTGCTTTCTCTTCTTAAAAGATTATGTTAATCCTAACAACAATTCACTTTTTATTGCAATTCTCGATTTAGGTACAAGCATGGAACGCCAGTTAGCTGTTCAAGTGACATGCAGATAATAATTTACCTTCTACTTTTATGGTAACTGTGGCTGAAAAACAAAGTTATAATATAAATTATTATTACAGAGATTTATAAGGAAATCACGATGGGCATCAAGAGAACGCCAGATATACGGGAAAACATTTATGACAAAAAAACACTATTTGTTATGTTTAGAATTCCGCTTTCTTTAGGTCTATATTCACTGAATTTGACATCTCTTTTATGTGAATAATACAGGGTTTACATTAAAAACCCTTAAGCTACACAGTCAAAAATAAGGTAGTTTACACCAATTCGGGTGGAAACTAGTTGCGACCTAAATAGGGATAACTCCTAGCCTTTAGTGGTGTAAACCGATAACACCCAACTCGTGTAGAACATTACACCAATTCAGGTGGAAACTAGTTGCCACTTCCAGTAATGTAACCTGCCTAATGCACTACCGGTGGTTGTAGATTAAGCATTACCCCCCAGGATGTTTTGTAAATTACACTTCCATATTTATTATTACACCAACGGGGGTGTAATTTGTTTTATTGGATATTTATTTCAAGCCAACGACTCCTAAGTTCAGAAAACGTGAAATTGCCTATCGGTCTCTATGATAGTTAGTAAATGGCGTTTAGCCCGTCCCAGATTTCATATAGACCGTCAGCCAATTCGCTTCATTTTATAACGACATTAAATTGACACAATGTCATACCCATTCAAATTCAACTGCTGTTGGGCAATTAGACAATCTGTATAAATTTACAATGAATATAAATCATGAGAAAAAATCAATACACATATCCTTACAACTTAGCTGAATAATGTGGTTTATTCATTTATGCACACCACCTGCATTAAGAATTATTAATTAAGATATTGTATTTGGTAATATTTTAGAACATTTACATATCGTTAAGTGTATACAAGCTAAATTAATCTATACTTTACTCGTTATGAGTAAACACTCTAAAATGAGTTATAGTTATGTTATTAGTGCAATTAACGCCATATTCCCCCCCCCCAAAAAAAAAACCCCCGAAAAACAAAAACAAACCAAAAAAAAAAACAACTAAAAAACCCAAACAAACTTGGGAAATGTTTCCCTAAAATAAATACACCTGTTGGTGTAAATGCAACCAGCGGCTGCTAGGCAGGATACGCCCACCTTTTGCAAGAGATGGATAGAGAACAAACTAAAAAAAACCGATTTTTTGTATAATCAGGGGCCATAATCGAGAAAGTTATGGTCTGAAATGCACAATTAATATCAAAAGGGACTGAGATATGTTTTAAGTTTCATCAAAATTACCCTTGGAAAGGTATTACATTTATAAAATGCTAGCTGTGGTGTAAAGTTTACACTTAATTAATACTGCTTATAGTTTTTAATTATACCCATTTTTCACAGTGTATCTGTCAGCACAGATTAATGACACACTATATTTCTCTCCTTTGACATGATAAATGCAATTAGAATCCTTTTAAAAAAGATCCCTTCTTGAAGGTCGCCATTTATTTCCACTGATTTTTCTTTTCTGCACGTGGTTTATTTTGCTGGGAGTGGGGTGCAATTAATTTATTAATCCATTTTACTTTATTTTTAGCGGTTGGTTTATTTTGCTGGATTTGTTTTCATCATTTATTTGTGGTGGAGGTGGAATGTAATTAATTAATCTATTGTGTTTTATTTTGCGCTTAGTTTATTTTGCTGGATTTCTAATTTTACCATTTATTTATATTTGTTTGGTGGTATTCTGTTCACGTCATTCGGTGTTTTTGATTGACAGTATGTTGTTAACGACATAAATAGTTCCGATATCATTACTTTATGTCTTACTTATATATTGTCACGATGTTTCTAAAAAATATTGTCGTGTATGACAGTTTCAGAAAGAAAATTAATGTCATATGTATCTAAAAGTCTAAATAAAGATGCTTGAGTGACGTTTTCTACTTATACTTAGTTTGTTGTTACAATAAAGCTTATCACATATTCTCAAAACTAATAATTTAATTATTAAAGATTGAACTCTATTCTTGACCGTTTGTAGGGTTACAATAACAATTTTACATTCGTTACATATTTCTCTCTGGGGAATTCTTGAAATTTTATTTCGTCGACAATGACTAATGATAATGTATAACGTTGTTGACCACCCAAACCAAGGCGTTTACACCTAAATATGTAAATAAATTTCTATGATGTAACCTCGCTATGACGTTATGCAAGATTTTTGTTTTCAAATGCTGAAATGTGTCGGCCTTGTCGATGTCGAATTCTAATGGACCATATCCGATGGAAACGAACGGCTAGTTGTGTTCTCGAATTTGAGGTGCCATCTTGGACATATCGTTGCGTCTTCTACAGACTTTTACTGGCACTAGCGTTTCAAAAGTCACCCAATGTCTGCACCAAATAATCTTGCTTTTCAACATTCCCTTTCAGTCGAATTCATTTTTTCTTTCTGTCTTCATTGATCTGTGGTGCATTTAAGCGATCGTGAAAACATTCTCAGGTGTTATCGTAAAATTACATGTATGTTGTAACATTCAAAATTGTAAGAATAAAGGATTTACAACCGCCCATTTATAAAAGCGCTGCATTTTCATTGCATCTCAGTATACAGATCTTCGTGTTGTGGAGGCCATCGAAAGTATGAAGAAACGAAACGAAATATAGATCTGTATTTTAATCAGATTGGACAAGATGTATGTATGATTTTAATTTTATATATTGCGATATCTTATATAGCTAAATGTAGCCTGCACACTGACGTAAAATATCGTTTACCTTATATTCACTATTAGCTACTTTCAATCAATATATATATATATACTTGTCTTGCAGTCTAAAAGAGATCAAACGTTTCGAGCAGGACGAAAGAGAAGGGCGATGGGTATTGTACCGGTCCTTTTTTGGTTTACAATTTTCGATATATTTTAAACTTAATTTCCTTGGTTATACTGCCGACCTGAATTGAGTTGGGAATAAATCGTTAAGATATTCTAAGCCTGAGAGAGTTATTATAATTTGTCATGTCGTCCGAACAGATTTATCCACAGTTGATGACCGTTTAATGTAAAGTACTAACCATGTATATTCCAGAAACCACATTTCAAAAGCGCATAATATAATCTGAAAGCTTTTCGACGTTTTATTTTGATTTTGATGGTTTTTATTATTATTCTAATAAGATAAATCACACTACTTTTGTTCTGCGTTTAATTACAACCACAATCTTGGGAATTCTCTTTTAATATATTTCCTTTTTAATTTAAACTAATTAAATATGAATTTTTAAAAAAAAAAAACTTACCTAGTAAGAATAGAGAAGAAAGTGAATGCAGCATGTTGATATCTGGTTTTGTACTGAAGTGGTTGAATCTTGTTTTCTTGTTTCTATCTTATATACATATATTATTTGTTCCCCACGACATGTGCCCCGGGCTATTTCTTACATCATCTGTCTAATTTATTGTAGATGGACGCCACTGACGTTGGCATATCATTCTTCGTGAGGTACACGGCTATTTTTAAAGATACATTACCCGCTTTCTTGTTTGTGAGTATACCACGCATGTCTAATTGCGAAAGTACCAGGGATTAACGTTTACACCTGTACTGACCCAAAAGATGATCGTCCATAAATCAGATCAAATAGTTTATTTAAAACATGGCAATACATCACTATTTTCTTTGTACATAAAATTATTTACGGCATTCGCTTTGCCACGTACAATTATAAGAATTTGCGCATAGCTTAAAATTACGGATTAATTTCCAGTTCATTTCATTTATCTGATCATTTTTCCGAGGAGCATGTTTTCCACGTTAATGTGATCATATTCTTTAGGTTAAAATGGTGGTAATATGATTATGAATAATAAGATTCTTTATATGATGGTGTTCAGTGTTAACTTGATTATAAAAGGTTAATATATTCCATGGGTTAATACAAGATTACATTTGGTTAATATTATTGTGTTCATGATTAATTGTTTAATAATATACTGCTGTTCTGAATTTAATATAATGCTATTCTGGGTTAATCTAATAATACCAGAATAATACCTACCTGACTTATAACCATTGTTCTATTTATGTATAAGTAATCATGGGTTTCGCGTAAGAAGCATGATGTGCTTATTAAAATTTTTCTACAATAGTAGTAACAGTCCACACGTTTATTTATTTACCATTTATTCATACAGTGTTCTTGATGACTGTTCTAGTGACCAAAGGTTATCGTCTATGAAGTAGCTTCTGAAGTCGAGTTCCCGAGTGGTGAATTGTTTATTATAAACTAAAACACGGGTCAGTGGTATCATAAGGGTCTAAACGTAAACGTATGCTTTGTTTGACAATATTTCACGTCGGTAAACTGCTGATTTGTGATGGTCTGTCACATAATATTTTGTCCTGATGTTATTGTCGATCCAAGGTTTATTCCTTATTGCCTTAAACAACAAAATAAAAATAAAAGGCGATCGCCAATTATATTTTTACATGGTCTTAACACAAGATGAATATAATGGACAGTATTTAGTAAATTATGCCATTATAAATCCTGAACATAATTAACCTGTCATGAACTTGTACAGTTACCCTTTGTCTTAGGTCACACAGCTTCGTTTTATAATGTTAATATCTACATAAACTATCTTGATTTCTTCAGCTCATTACAGAGTGTCGCCTCTAGGCGAGGATTTAAGGGCAGCGGTTTGCCATAAAACAATGTAAGAGCCTCTAAGCAGTGCCCCCCCCCCCTCCAGTTCCAATACAAAAAAGTTAAAAGCAGTATATTTCATTATGCGTCGCTATCTGAAATCTTTTCGCGCCCAATTCCATTTTAACACCATACTTACACACCACTGTCGTCTTATACTATCTCACCACTATCATATTCATGGTTATAGTAAATCGCCCAGTTAGTAGTACCACTAGCGCGTTGGTCGTGGGGCGACCGACTGTACAAAATGTTCTGTCAACTCTCATTAAAAAGGCGAAGTCACAGGTATAGATCTCAAGATTCTGTCCCATTTCTGATCTTCTCGTTCACAAGAATTTGCTCCCATTAATGAAATTGACTCGAATTTTCTCAGGAGGAACCTGAGATAATAGCAAAATCAACTAGATCTGCTACGCAGATATGAAAGCTTTCATATTCACGGTCAGTTTCTGTCACATGTCATGGGTTATATAAAGAATCTCAACAAGGAAAAGGAGTTATTAAAATCGATCAAAGCTCGAAGTTATATAGGTATATATATTGAGTAACAGTGCACCCGGGCAAAAGAATCTGGAAAATAAAGGGAAATAACTGAGACTTGTATTGCTGTAATCGAATTGACTCCCCGTTCCAGAAGTTTAAAATACGGATCTAGATGAGAAAATGAAATTAAAATGGCGGAAAATAACTCAAAATGGTTGGAAAATGTCGTAGGATGATCATTTGGAAAATTATACAACCCTAAATTCCACGGTTATTAATATGAAATGAAATGGGCGTTAACGTCCCGCTGTTCTGCTTCTACTGGGCTAATTAAGACAGGCATACGCTATACAGCATGCTATGAGGTAAATTTTGCCTGGGCAGCGACACTATGACGTACTCTTATATCGAATTCCAACTGCCATGGGATCTTTTTCTTGCACTCCAATTTATATGCGGGTCCTCGGTTGATCGGGCCATCCGAACGACTAGTCAGTGGTTCTTGTCAGGACCCCCGTTCTGTACCACTTACAAGGGGAAACGACGCTGGAAAATGCCCATGAACTGTCTCGACCAATGCAAGGATCGAACATGAGATCTACAGGCTAGCAAGCCAGCGTCACACCCATTTAACTACCATGGCCCCTGCATTATTATAATGGATATTTTACGGTATATATGCGAGCTATATACGAACTCTGATTTGTCAATATACTGTAGAAAAGGTAATAAAGGCACATCACCATGTTTTTTATATGAAAATTATAGATAAAGTTAGAATAAAGATTGATGGCTATGTCAGGTGTTGCTTTTATGATCATAATTAAAACTAGATTAATGCCTTTATTTGCGTAGACATGAAATTGTAATAAAGTCACAAATTGTTATAAATGTAAACCATATTCAATGGGTTTAGTTAGGAGACTATAATCTAAATTCATTAAACTAGTTTAATTTTGTTATTTTGTTAAATGTTGAAATAATATTAACAGTGAAGGTTAGTCAACCGGGATTGTCTACAATTTAAATTTTATGTTAGTATGCCTTAAGGTAGTAAGAACCGAACTTGGATGATACTGTCATGAGAGACGAGCGAAGGTGTGTCAACTGATAGAATGGAGATGTGTTTTTGCATAAAGGGTATTGTATTTGGATAAATTTCTAAACACTAACTACAAGATATTGGCAATTATTTATCAAATGATATGGTGATTAGTTTCAATTTCGAGGGGAGTAAATCAATAAAATGCAGCTATGTTGGATTGCAAAACGTTTTGAAAATATATTTATTCGAAAGCCACAATTCTGAGATATAAGTTTCGCAGGAAATTATTTTTGTACAAGTATAATAAAAAGTAACATATTGTGTAATATTATTTATAACAATACTTGTACAAGATTGTAACATATTTAAGGGTGAATCGTGCGTTTTGATTGGACAATTAGACACTGTCAATTGAACAATAACACTCTCTGTTTTAGCAAGGCGAATAACTGCGTATAAATACAGAATTGTATAACATAATTTTTATGATATAGCGAAGGGCAAACACCAAATAATTATTGCATTATGTCGGTATTGTTAAATACGAAATCAAATGCTAATGTATAACGTATATTAATGCAGAAATCATTAAAATAAAATAAACAACGGGAAATCAAAAATAAGTGCCAGCTTCAAATAATGTGCCTTTCACAATGATGTCTTCCAAGCAATGTATACAGTTGCTATGTAAGATATGCTGATACATGTATATGCCAACTTCTTTGCAAGAGAGTAATGGAGAATAGGGAAATTGAAGGGGGTTGTCCTAAAGAACATGTGTAAATTCAGATTATAAGTTCGTTCTTACGGACAGAATGTATTGAAAATGTTGTGCAAAGTTAAGTAGCATAACTATACAAGTAACTAAAGAAAATTATAGAAATTCAATACACTTGTTGGTTCCAGAAAGTGCAGCAATGTTTAAAATTCTAGAAATAGATAGACGAAATTGAATAATCTACTTTGTTTCACAAATGTAACAACAAATACAAATTGTAGACAGATTTGTACAATATCAGAGAAATAGGTAACTGTTTATTACTAACTGTTATTCACACAATAAATATAAAGTACACATAAACAATAAATATATAGTACATAAGGACAATCATAAAAATAAGACTCAGTGTCCGTCATTCCTGTGAACTTTCATTATCTCTCCCAATTATTTCTATACAACCCAATATACAATACCTATTTCTACTAACGGATATTTGTTTCAACCTAAGATACTTTATTTGCCCTTTCACATATTGTGTGCATAAATACATGATTAAACAGATATATGATTGAAACAAATAATGCTTGTATATTATAATTTTATAATATGTCATTCTACCATAAGACTTTTATGATATATTTTGAACCAATGAAAAAGCCAATCTGAAGAGAAAATACCTGAAATATATTGTAAATATAGTCACATTCTTGAACAAGAAAGGAAAATATTTTTTTTATAAATTGTTGGACTGTTACTGAAATCATAATTGTCTTATTTAATGTTATTAAGATACACATATAACCATGTACATTTTTGAAGATGGAGAGCAATTATGACACCTATGTGAATAACACTCAAAAGTTATTTTCATGAATGCAAGGATTTTTTTTTGTTTTTTGTTTGTTTAATCGGTGATATACTAGAACGTTTTTTTTTTTAAATCGGATAAAAATTATGACCTCTATAGGGTCCACAAGCTAAAGACGTGATTTTTCGTACAATCAGGGGCCATAAGTCAGGAAGTTACAATTCGACATACGCGAAAATTGAAAGGAACCGAGATCTTTGGGTTATAAACTTACATATCAAGTTTCAACAAAATCGGATAAAAAGTGACCTCTATAGGGTCCACAACCTTGATATACCATATTTTTACGCTATTTGAGAACGAACGGCGGCCATTTTGTCTGTCAATTTTAATCCAATTTTCACGAAATTCAAACTCAATCGTCCTTAGGGTGTAACGGTGATATAATAATACGGTTTTTTAAATCGGATAAAAATTATGACCTCTATAGGGTCCACAAGCTAAAAATGCGATTTTTCATACAATCAGGGGCCATAATTCAGTAAGTTACAATTCGACATACGCGAAAATTGAAAGGAACCGAGATCTTTGGGTTATAAACCTACATTTCAAGTTTCAACAAAATCGGATAAAAATTGTGGCCTCTATAGGGTCCACAAGCTAAAAACGTGATTTTTCGTACAAACAGGGGCCATAATCCATGAAGTTTCGATCTGATACATGCCAATATCGAAAGTAGCCGAGATCTTTTGGAGATAAACCTATATTTCAAGTTTCGTCAAAATCGGATAAGAATTGTGACCTGTAGAGTGTCCACAAACAAATTGTGGACGGACGGACGGACGTCCGGACGGACAGGGGCGACGGCATAAAATGTGTTAGTTGTGTGTACTCCATACAAGAAGTGGTATCAGGTGCTCTAGAGAGATTAAGAAATCCCTCCCTCCTTGTGATAAACTGTGACAAATTTATAAGACAAATTTTGCTCTGTTCAAGTATCACATGGTGTGTGTATGTGTGGAGGGGGGCGGGGGGCTTTTCTTTTGTCAATATGTATTTTAATGTACCTTCACCACAAAAGTAACGCCTGTCTTCATTTGCTCCTACTGGAGGAGAATAGAAGGACTGTAGGCAAAAAACAATAGGGCCGTGGGCCAATCATGCATAATGTGCACATTTCATGCACTCAGACAATTTAATTATGCCTATGAACTTTCTTTGAAAAGTAGGACAAAAGAAAAATGTAAATAACTTACTTATTTGTCAATATGTGATTTTAACTACTATAACTTCGCAGAAAACACAATCGTGATGGCTTGGCGAGCCAGACGTTGACTCAATAACATGGAAGTCCCTTGTTCGATCACCGCGTTAGCCAGTAAGTTCATTACAGCGCGGTTCCCCCATGACTTTAGTTCAGGGCTGGGTCTGACAAGGAATAATGTGTAGTCATTTGAATGGGGCGAAAAACAGAGGTTCTGTTATCCTGATATATGCACGTAAAACATCCCTTGGCATTTGGTTAGGATAGGGTCTGGCAAGGAATAATGTGTGGTCATTTGGATGGGACGGTAAACCAAGGTCCCGTGTATCCTGATATATGCACCAAAAAGATCAATTGGCAGTTGGAATTCAATAAAACAGTATGCCGTAAAGACGCTGCCCGCACAAAATTTCCCTCCTAGCACACTGTATGGGTATGCCCACTTCATTAGCCCAGTCGGAGCAGAAAGGTGGGGGTTAAACTCTATTTCATTCAATAACATATTGAATAGGTTTCATATCGGAGAATTTACTCCCCCCCCCCTTCAGATTACGACACTTACGAGGTTCAGTCTAATATCCCCAGATCACTTGAATTAGTTTAAAAGGCGAATTATCAATATAATTAACGGCGATGGCTTTATGATCTGGATATCTGCCTACGTTTTAAATTTTTAGGTTGCTAAGCTTTAACGTAGCAAGTATTGAAACGGGCTGAAGAGAGAAGTCGAGTCAACTAATAGGCTGCTAAAATATAACGAGAACCATTCCCCCTGACCAAAAGGTAATCTAAAAATAAAAAGATATTGCTGAGACCGTATTGCTGAAACCGGATTTACTTTCCGTTGCAGAAGTTTCTGAAAAATCGATCAAGTCGTTTAAAACCCAGAAGAATCAGAAAATGCGTAGAAAATGGCTAGAAAAATGTCAAGAAAATATCGAACAATAAACTAAGATAACTTATAATGAATCTTACAATTTTTTAATAGGATTGACCTCAGCTATTCGAATATTGTAAGTTTTAAAAATTAAGATAAACATAAATGTCGTACAATTAACCGTCGGAAATAGGAAACCAATTCACGAAACGGCGGCTTATTCCGAGTATTTCCAAACCGTTAATGCAGATTTTTCACTCGTAAATAGCCTTGTCCAAATATCATGAAAATCGGGCTTTGATCCCTCATTTCTCCAAGGGGAGACATAGTTTAAGTTAAATAGATCAGGTCTACCTTTATTCCAAATTTCATGAAAATCGTGCTAGTATTAAAGAAGTTGTTAAATTCGTTTTTACTTCCGAAATAAATGTCAATGACGTTCTAAATTAGCAGATTTAAAGAAAATGTTTCAAAGTACCCAAAGAAATATGAATATGTAAAATAGGTCAAATATTCACAAAGTTACAGCTATGTAGTTAATTCTTTCGTCATTAACATTTGGTGATTTCGGATTTGTAAAGCGTTTCGAAAATATGTATTCCAAAGTCAACATCCATTCTGGGAGACAAGTTAAAGATTTAGAAAGATCCAAAGAATTGATTTTTGGATATAAGCTTGACAGAATCATATGAAAGAAATTGTCGTGTAATCAACTTTGTCGGCACAAAAAAAAAGTCAAAGTGGAAATTCGAAATTTTGAAATACCAAAAATTCGTGCCTGAGCCGGGCTATTCAGAAATTTCTGTAATAGGAGACGGATTCTCTAAACCACAACCTATTGTGTATATTTACAAGCCCATTAATGTGTATTTTTCACTATTTTTCATTTAGAATTCAAAATGGCGTCCATCATTTGCCAGAAATCAAGGATTCGGAAAATATAATTCCCTTGTCTGTAAGTAATATATCAAAAAAGCCTTAAGGATATTTCACATTTTAGGATGGTGGCACTTCCTGATTGAGGTACACACACCATTTTTTTGTACGAATCAGTAGTGTCGTAGCTAGTACAGAAAAAAAAATCAAGGCAATCTAACCTATATTTAGTCGATATTTTTGAAAACTTAATTTCTCCAAGGGGAGATAACTTAGGGCAATTCCAACGTTATCGTTGAAGTTGGATCAATGAGATCTACATACATTCCAAATTTCATGAAAATCGTATCCATATTAAAGAAGTTGTCAATTCTGTTTTACTTCCGGGACGAAATGTCAATGACGCAATTTTCAAAATTCGAAAATAGCAGATTTGGAGTAAATATTTCAAGATACTCAAAGAAAAAAAGATAGGTTGCCAGGCAACGAAACATATGCCCACAGCAGCTATATCGTCCGGGCAGTCAACAAGGGTTGTCAAATATTTTTACTTTTTTCGGTAATGAAACATTTATAATACATTAAAATCTGATTAAGAGTAACAACACATTAAGTAATTATCAGAAAACCATTAGAATTTGTTTGGTTTTTTTTATAAAGTTCTGCCCCATGCTAACTTTTAATATACGAAACTTTTAACATCATGGATTTAGCTGTTCAAGTCATAAAGATTCATTGAAAATCAATATACTTGTTCGTCTCATGACCTTAAACACTGTGTATAAATTTAAAGTCAATCGGATATTAACTTTAGCCTCTAGAGCGTTCACAAGATTTTTCAAAGTGATCAAGGGCCATAACTCTGACAGTAATTATCGGAAATCGCTGAAAATCAATAGGCTTCTTCGTCTCATGAACTTAAACACTGTGTATATATTTAAAGTCTATCGGATATTAACTTTGACCTCTAGAGCGTCCACACGATTTTTTGAAGTGATCAAGGGCCACAACTCTGGCAATAATTATCGAAAATCGCTGAAAATCAATAGGCTTCTTCGTCTCATGACCTTAAACACTGTGTATAAATTTAAAGTCAATCGGATATTAACTTTAGCGTTTATGGCGTCCACAAGCAATTGTGGACGCCGGACCGACGGACGGGGGCAACAACAATGTGGGCGTATAAAAACAGTAACATAGGTCACATAGTTACAGAGTTATGGATAGTAGGTCAATTTCTTCGTTCTTAAAATTAGGTGATTTCGGATTCGTAAAACGTTTTGAAAATATATTTAATCAACGTTCGCACCCCATTTTTTTTTTTTTTTTTTTTTTTTAGAGGGGGAGGGGGGGGGGAGCTAAATGGGCGTTCAGCGGTATAGCCAGTATTTTGTTGACATTCATTGTCGGGTGAGATTCTTGATGGCGTCCTAGACCCCCCTCCCCCTCCACACACCCTTTATTGCCCCTTCACAGCTTCTACATCCGCTACTGGTCGTCCTGAAAAAAAAAAGTGATCTTTGAGAGTAATATGGATATTGTTACAGTCGAACAGATTTAAGGGTTCTACGAATTCATATTTTACACTTTTTGTGCATAAATAGAAACAGTAGAATTGAAGACTTCAGAGAAATTGAATGAGTTTAACGTCCTACTTTTCTGCACCAAAAGGGTCAATGAAGACGAGCATACACCCACTAGTTGTCGAATTCCAACTGCCATGGGTTGTTTTATGTGAACGCCAACGTATAGGTCCTCGGGTTTTCGTCTCGTCCGAAAGACGAGACCATGTTGTTTCTCAGACCCTCTACCTCTGTCAAACCGGAATTGAGAATTGTGTGGCACCGTCTCGTCGAATGGCAACGCCGGGGTCTCTTGATTAGTGAGCCAGCGCCATACCCAATGAGCTACCATGGCTTGTATTTATAATATACTCTTCAAAAAAAGTAGGGGATATTCAGAAACAATACAAAACTGCGGAAATGCACTGCTGTTTTTATTAGAGGTAACCAGTGCATGTTAATAACAGGCCAATTGCCTACATATGAACATAAACAGTTCATATGGGCGGCTTATAAGACGGCCCCATTTCACTCGCAAAGAGATACACTGTCAAAGGTGAAAATGGACGTTTTTGATTTTTGTTTTTATAATGAGTAATTGCTCCACCAATGCTCAGACATTCGGCAATTTGTCGTGGCATGCTCCTAATCAACCGTCCAATCACGATTTGGGGCAATCTGACCCACTCCTCTTGCACTGCCACGGCCAATTCTTGCAGTGTTGTCGGTTGACGTCGACGAACACGTCTTCCGATCAAATTAAACGTAACACACTAAAGCAAAGATACGCTAAACAGTAAATCTTAAGCAAGAACCGATAGGAAAGCAAACATGGATATGATAAACCAGCAAGCGGCAGTTTTCATCAACCCTTCCTTGAAGTGTCAAATTTGACAATGAACCCCTCCCACGTGTATGGCGCTATTGCGTGTCGCACATGCAGCTCAGTGGCTCTGTTGGGGCGATCTGTGAACATACTCTCAAAGCATGTCAAGTGTCCATGACTTTTTATTATATCACAACCTGCATAGGCATTTGCATTTCAATATCTCCTACTCTTTTTGAAGAGTATACTTAATTATGTGTATTAAACATGATATCAAGTTTTATTTGTTTTCGAAATGCACATTCCATTTTTGCTGTAAAATTTATGATATGTACCATGTTCGACGTAATAATCAATCGGTAACTTTTGAAGCGTATCCACATTTTGAGCGTGTTTTTTTTTTATTATACTGATTCCAAACAAAACTTCTGACTGTAAAGTTCATTTTTCACATACGCATTTTCGCCGGTTACATGGAAAGGTTCCCATTACATTTGCATAAGGTCTACCCTTCCGTTGCGGTAGCAACACGCTTGCACGGAAAGGGGCCTCCGTACATACTGAATGTTATTGCTGACAACAATCGAAAAGTCAAGAATATTACCAAAGGGCAGAGTGAACACAAATTTGAAACTAAATCTACACTATGAATTACTCATTGTCAACGTGTGAACAATAGTCTATTGATGTGCAAGCTGTAGTTTTGATGTTACCTCCATTCTATTTGAGTTAGGTCAAATAATAAAAAGTAAAATGGTTTGGTAGTGAATGTAGTATATCTAGACATGACATGCTCACATTATTAAACTGCAATCCCAATAACAATTTGCACAGACAAATATACTACAGCCCTACATGATTATAAAAAAAATTACAAAATTCAAAACGCGATAGGCAAAAGATATAATTAGCAATATTGTTATTTTAAATTGATTTTAAAAAATGCGTTACCAGTTCAGTTTATCCAAGCTTTGCGTACCATCCATTGTAAAGATTTTGCACGTTTTAGATAAAATAAACATAGGTTTCTTTACGCATTAAGTGTCGAAGTCTTCGTCTGCCCTTTAATACATTTTGGATATTTCGTTGGACTGTTAATGATACGGACACATGGTTATAAACCGGTCAATTAATTTGTTATAGGAGTGGAATCGTGGGGAAAATTCTGGGATTTTTAATTCCAATTCTGGTGAGCCTTTACGCTTGTTTTGTGGCCAAGACCAATTTGGTCACAATTTAAAAGGGTTCCTTCTGACGTTGTAGGACTGACAACAGTGATGGGGGACTAAACTGAACCTATCAAGTACTGCTCAAAGTGCAGGAAATCTTGTTTCCTATAGTCAAATTTTGTGAATTTTATTTATCATAGTCACAGGCGCGGATTTAGGGTACGGGGTGGGGGGGGGGAGGCATTACGATATCATCATTCTTCCTCTCCTGATCTGTGGTCTTATACTCCCTCATCACTATCATATTCAAGGTTATAGTGAATCGCCCAGTTTGTAGTACCACTACTAGTGAGTGAATCGTGGGGTGACAGACTGCAGATGTTCTGTCTACAGGCCTCGTGATTAGGTCCCATTTCTTATAGTCTTGTTCACAAGAATTTGCTCCCTCCATTGAACTCAAATGCCATGAAATTTAGGCCCAGTCCCAAAAATTAAAAGCTTAATTACATATTATACGTTGTTATCTGAAATATTTTCGTGCCTACCGTGCTTGATTCTCATTCTTCCTCCACTCTTTTGTGGTCTTATACTATCTCATCACTATCATATTCACGGTAAAAGTGAACCGCCCAGTTAGTAGTAGTGCGTGGGGCGACAGACTGTACAAACTGTCACAAAACAGGCAGAATTGACAGGCAGATCTCAAGATTCAGCCCCATTTACTCTCATTTCTAATCCTCTGGGTCCTGTTTCACAAAAACTTAAATCTCCATAAAATCGTCTTAAACTAAAATTCCATCCTAACTAAAGATAGATGCATTTCACAAAACGATTTTAAGCATTTTAGATAAAATCCACTAAAATAGTATAATATTGTAAGTTAAAATTGTATCTTAACTTAAAATAGTGGAGTTTCATAAAATTATTTTAGGGACAATTTTAATTAAAATCAATTTTAACTTAGGACAGCTGTCACCCTCTCCTAACTTAAAATCACGACATTAACAAACATTGATTAGAGCTACGTTGTGAGATCTATTGCAACATAAATATTTGGAATAATGATAATATTGCTAATGGCCCGGGTTATATAATTTAAACGTAGGCCTACTATCATTCACGAGAGAGAGAGAGAGAGAGAGAGAGATTAACGTCCACTAGACACAAACTCGGTTATTTCGGGACTAACACATGGTTCAATTTTATTTGAATAATTCGCTTGCGCGTAGGGGTCTTTAGTAGTGGGAGGAAACCGGAGGCAGGGTTCCCGCGGCTTCGTCAAACATTTTTTCAAGGATATTCAAGGATAAATATACGTCAAATTCAAGGATTTTCAAGGACATTTTTTAGCCTAAAGTTACAATTTATCATCTTAAAAATAACCAAAACATTACCAACTATCGTTATAATCTCATATTTAAAAGGAATTGAAGACATTTGAAACAAAATTAAGGATCTCAACTGAAATTCGAGGATATTTTCCTATTTCCTCGAAATTCAAGGATATTCAAGACCTTGAAAATGAAATTTTAAATTTAAGGATATTCAAGGATTTTCAAAGACCGCGGGAACCCTGCGGAGGACCCGGAGAAAACCCACGAGGACCGTACTCCCTGTCACGTACAACCGGGATATCGAAACCCCGTCAGTCCTATAATACTAGATATGCCATGCAAAGTATTTATTGTTTTTGGGTTATGATGATTTATATAGGAGCCAAGGGTATTTTATATTGGGAAAAAATCATTTTAATTTAGTAAGATAGATAGGCATTATCCAATAAGGAGTGTGGCCCTTTGGCATTTTCAAATTAGTATTGAAAGGGTCCATGGGACTGACATTTCAAATCTAGGCATCGGAACATTGGTTATTTCGTGTATTAGTTTAAAAGGGCTCGACACCGGATTTCACATATAATCACCGGAATTCACTTCGAAAACCCCAGATTCCACCCACAAAACTAATTTATTTTAAATGTATAATACATTATAATGTAACAAATTACTATTTTGATATCTCCACAGGCCAAATAAAGGCCCTGTGTGTGTATTTATTTGAAAGACTACCGGAATTCATTTCAAATACAGGGTATATGCATCATGGTTATGATAACGTAGGGCGCGTCGTAGTACCCAATAGGCCGAACTCCAAAATAACACTAAACAAGCCAACAGTGAGGCTGATGTCCCCCGCCGAAATCCCCAAATAAATAGATGACACATATTAAACATGCATTATGCAAGAGCTAAATCTGATTATTGCAAGTCTTAATTTAGGCTTCAGGTGTTATAGAAATTATATATTAGATCTTTATTTAAACAACAAGACCAAAATCAACTCTGTAGACCCACGGATGGCTCGGCTACAGCTCGGATTTAAATAGGATTTCACTAATTGATTAAATCAGATAAGGGGCAACCTGATGAAAATACGTCTGTTAGATCGAGGCTAAATGATAGAGTGTACTTAGCGAGGCCGCTGTAAAGCGTTTCCGTATGCCATTGAAAACTTTACTTGATAATCGAGATATGTAGGTGGAGTTAACGCCTGTCAATCAAACGATCAGCGAAGGTGAAGACACAATTCGCTACTATTTCTAGGCAAATATTTACAACAATGATAACTATGTTCAGAATAAAGTAATTTGACTGAATTTTTCAATATATTCTCCTTTCATCATCTACTTTTGAACTGTTATAGCAAGAATGTCCAACTCTCTATAAAAATCTCCCATAATGTATCTTTAATTAATCGCACATCTATTTTTTTCCAAAGTATCAAGCAATCAAACTGATTATCAACTATACACTAAGTTCCATCACTCTCTATCATATAGAATCAAAGTTATCTTGTCCCAAAGCAGGAAATTGCTTATCTCTGCTTAGCTTTAGCTCAATATGTTAATCATTGAACTCAGTCAAGACGAACATCTACATCAAGTTT